GATGACCCAGGTGAGGATGGGAACGGGGAACTGGGGTACAGGAGATAGCACGAGAGGAGGGGTAGGGAAGCTCTCGGTGCCGGTTCCCGTCCTCCAGCCGTTACCTGAGCCACGAGCCCGGCGCCGCTGCACGGACTGCCCGCCAGCCGCCTCACCCGTCCCTTCACCCTGCACCCTCCGCCGCTGCAACATCCGCTTCCCCTCAACCCCACCAAACGGCCTGGACCCCGAGCCCGGCTTCCCGCTCGTTCCCTCCCGCTGCCCCCTCCTCCCCGGGTCCAAAAATTATTCTCACCCATCACTGGCCTCAAAATTACAGGGGACCTATTCACTCCGACGGAGGAACAAACGTGCCTCGGAGCAGTGCTGAGACCATCGAATTTGATGGTCTTCTTTATGTCATCAAAATGCGACGGCCGACTCATTTTGAATAAACTTTATTTATAAAACAAAACAGTTGTACCCTCCCAATGTTGTTAGCAAAAATTCCACTTTGCAGTGTGAGTTCCTCAACCTCAAAGTGTTTAACCGTTGATGTTTCGTTAAGAGGGTTGATCAGGACATGTGCTTTGTGTTGATGTGCTTTAAATGGAATCTCATAGGCATTTCAGAAAGTGCCTGCACAGGAGGCTTGAAATTTCAGGCCAGTGGAATTAGCAGTATGGATATAGAATTGGCTGAGTGGCAAAAAACAAAGAATAGTGGCCAGTAGTTGCTTTTTTTGACCTGAAATGGGATTTCCAGGAGATTTACGTTAGAACTACTTTTCTAATAAAGGTGGGGAGAGGATGAGCTATATTTTACTGTGTAAGAGCACTGTGGTGATTGTTTGGCAAATATATTCTGATTAATAGAGATAATAGCATAGAGGGTACATGGTCTATTACTGCTAGGATTTGTTTGAGTTCAGTCAGATTGGCTGTGATTCTCATGGTATTGTCCTTAGAAATTAGTCAGCAAATGGTTGTTGATATTTTCCTCAGTGTTCAGTCATGCTATGATATAATTCTGGAGTAGCTGGGACTTGAACCCAGGTCTCTTAGTTTAGAGGTCAGAACACTACCACTGTGCCACAGTAGCCCCTTTACAAATTACTGTCATATATTTTATTGAGTTGAAACAGTTGCTGATCATGTAAATGATTGCTCCATCTACAAAGGCAAGGACGTGTTTATTAAAACATGTAGTTTCAAGTACACACAACCAATCAGCATTCCACTTTGAAAAGTGTCTTTTTTCAGGAATACTAAAGAAGAGGTACTTGGAAAAATTAGCTGGATTCAGAGTCGATAAACCTCCTGCATCAGATGAGCTTCATCCCAGAGTATTGAAGGGAGTAACAACAGAACAGTGAATGCATCAGTGGTTATCTTTCATCATTCTAGAAATGTTGAAAGAGATATGGAGATAATAAAAGAAAATGGTGTTGAGATGATCAGCCATGATCTAGAATAGTGTGTCAGGCTTGATGGGCTAAATGGCCCACTTCTGTTCCTATATTCCTGAAACCAAACTTGGGATCTTTTAGGGTGAGAAACATAGTTGTGTCAAGTGTAACCAAATAAAATCTTTTTAAACATGGAAAGGAAAACAAAATTGCAGAGACAATCTTTTTAAGTGCTTTGATGTGCCTGGCACAGAGACAGAAGGATGAAAAACTTGAATTTTTACAGTGCCTTTCTTGACAAACTCTGACCTATATCGTTCTATTTCTGTAAGTGGGTCCATCCAGTCTTGACCAGCGACTCAGTGACAAAGAACTAACCATGACCTCAAACCGTTCTGAACCATAATCAATGATTTAATTTTCATTTCGATTGGGAAAATCAAATTGGCAGAGGCAACCTCAAGAAAGAATTCAGAGTGTATTCATGACAGTTTCCTAGAACAATATATTGTGGATCTCGAAACAGAAATCATATTGTTTTGTATCTGGAAAAGTGATATGAGGCAGGTTTAAGAAATGATCTTAGAGTAAATTATCACATATTGACTATAACATGGTAGAATCTAGCATTCAATTTGAGAATGAAAAACTTGGTTTGGAAACAACTGTGCTAAACTTAAATAAAAATAATTACAAAGGAACAAGGTTAGACTTAGCTGGGGTAGACTGTGAAGATGGGTTATCAGAAAAAATGGTTGAGGGATAATGGGAGATATTTACAAAACCAGTTCATGACTTACAAGAAAGATGTATGCAGTGAAGAAGGATTCTGGAGAGAGGATAAGCAATCATGGCTAACCAAGGAAGTTAAGGATAACATCAAACTGGAAAAAAAAAGACATGCAAAGTGGCAAAAATTTGTGTTAGCCAGAGAATTGAGAAAGTTTTAAAAACACAAAATTTGATAACAAAAAGTAAAGAGGGAGAAAACAACTTTGATGGCAAACTAACAAGTAACATAGAAACTTCGTTCTGATGAAAGGTCACTGGACACTAAATGCTAACTCTGTTTTTCTCTCTCTATAGATGATACCAGACCGGCTGAGTTTCTCCAGCACTTTCTATTCTTATTTCAGATTCCTAGAATCTGCAATTCTTTGTTTTATTATAGAAATATGGAGCAGGAGCAGGAAATTCGGACCATTAAGCCTGCCATTCACTATGATTATGGCTGATCCTCCATCTACCAGTACCCCTTTGATGCTTTTAAAATCTAAAAAAAACTATCCCTTTCTTGAATATATTCAGTGATTTTGTTTACAAAACAAGTAATAGCAAAATAGATAGAAAGAGCTTCTTTAAGTGTGCAAAAAGAAACAAAGAGGCCAAGGTGAAAATAGACCCCTTGGAGAATGAGACTAGGGAAATAATAATGGGGAATCAAGAACTGGCAGGGGTGTTGAATAGCTATGTATCATTCTTCACCGTAACGGACTCTAATAGCATTCCAACAGTGCTAAATAATCAAGGGGCAAAATGGAAAGAGGAAATAAATATAAAACTACCACTAGAGAAAAGATATTATGCAAACTAATTGGGCTAAGTGCCGAAAAGTCCCACAAACCTGATGAGTTGCATCGAAGGGTATTAAAGGAAATAACACAGAGATAGTGCATACACTTGTAGTAGCCTTCCACAAATATTTAGATGCTGGTAAAGACCCAGAGGATCAGGGATCGCCAATGCAACACCTTCATTCAAAAAAGAAAGGAGACAAACCAGTCACTATCAGCCAGTTTGCTTAATATCTGTCATTGTTAGATGTTAAGAGTTTATTCTAAAGGATGTAATAGCAGAGCATTTAGAAATGCATAATATAGTCAAATAGAATTAGCATGGTTTCATTGAAGGGGAAATCATGCCTGACAAACCTATCAGAATTCATCAAGAAGGTAACGTGCATGATCGATAAAAGGAACGTAAAGATGTAATATTTAGATTTCTGAAAGGCGTTCAATAAGCTGCTGCAGGGACAGCTACTTAATAAGAAAAGAGCCCATGATGTTGTGGTTATAAATGAGCCTGACTGGAGAATTGGCTAACTAATGGAAAATAGAGGATTGGAATAAGGGGCGGGGCATCGCCAGGATGGCAACCTGTATCTAGTGGTCTGCCACAGGGATCAGTGCTAGGGCCACTATTATTTACAGTATATATTAATAACTTGGATGAGGGAAATGAGTGTACTATTGACAAGTTCGCAGATGACACAAAAACAGGAGGGAAGGCAAGTGGTGAGGATAACACAAAGTCTTCAGTGGAGTATAGGTGAGTGGGCAAAGACTTGGCAGATGGAATATAATGTGGGAAAATATGTGGTTGTGCACTTTGGCAGGAAGAATTGAGGAGCTGAATACTATTTAAATGGTGCAAGAATGTATAAAGCTACAGTACAGAGGAATTTGGGGTTCTTGTACATAAATCACAAAAAGCTACCATACAAGTTCAGCAGCTTGTAAGGAATGCAAAGAAGAGGGAGTGTACAAAAATGGGTAAGACTATACAAAATACTAGCTAGACCACACATAGAATACAGTGAACAGCTTTGATCCCCACATCTAAGGAAAGATATGCTGGTATTAGAGGCAGTGCATAAGACCACAAGAAACAAGAGCAGGTTGTTCGCCCCTCAAGTCTACTCCACCATTCAATAGGATCATGGCTGATCCAACACTCCTCAGTTACATTCTTTGTCCTTGATTCATTATAATGTCCATTATAAATGTCGCCACTGATGCCTAAATTCTGCCAATGAAAATAAAATATTCGTAATCCCCTGTGTAGCTCTGAATTGCACCTGTTCTCAGTGTTGCAATGGAGTTTCCATGAGTTTCTGCTCAGGATGTTGGGAGGTGGAGGAAAGTGCAGTTCAAACAGCTGCCTAATGAGGAAGCACTGTTGGTAAACTGAAAGTTGGACTGCAGCTTGGGTGAAGCCACGTTTGCCTGGGAAGTGTAAACCCAAGCTCCCTATTAGCTGTACTGAATCAGTGACACCTCCCTGAGGAACAAACGTCAAGGGAAGGAACAGGCGGTGTCAGTGCCCTGACGACAGCTGTACACATAGGAAACTGTCGCCCACAGCTACTGCTCTCCTGCACGTGCATCAACAACAACATATGTGTAGTTCATGTTGTTAAAGGCACTCCCCATGTGCTTCTTGGGGACATAATCAGATAAATATTGACACTGAGCCACATAAGGGGATATCAGGATTGATGACTCAAGAACATAAAGATTAAGGTTACAGAAAGGATCATAAGGAAGAAGAGAAAGATACAGAGGGAAGAGGTTTTGACAGAGATTCCAGAGCTTTGGGTCCCAGACCCCAATGATGAAGCAGAGGGTATCTGGATTTGGTGATGTGCAGATATCTTGGCAAGTTGCAGGGCTTGTAGGATTTACAGAGCAAGGGGTGAGTGGAGCCACAAAGGGACTTGAACAGGCAAATGAATATTTTAAATTTGAGATGTTGGTAGACTGAATATCAATGTAGGTCATCATGAAGGACATACAGCATATATTCATATACAGCATGTACACGTATTATGTGTGGGTAACAGGTGCAGATTAGAATCTGGGAAAGAGTTTTACCTGATCAAGAAAGGAAGAACAGTTTGCATTTATATAGTAATTTTCGTGAATTCAAGATATCCCAAAGTAGTTGCACCCAAAGAAGTTCTTATGAAAGATAGTGACTATTGAAATGTATGAAACGCAGCAGCTAATTTGCACACAGTAAGGTCCCACAACTAAAAATGTGATCAGGAAAAATTTTGTTTTGGGTTTAATTGAGGGATAAATATTGGCCAGAATGTCTTCTACATCCACTTGACAGAGCAATGAGGTCTTGTTTAACTTCTCATTCAGAAGACAGCATCTGTGACAGTGCAGAAGCTCCTCATATTGCAATGGAATTTCTGCCTAAATATGGGACTTCAATCTATGACAGTCTGACCCAGAGGCACTTAGTGTCATGGAGCCATAGAGATGTACAGCATGGAAACAGACCCTTCAGTCCAACTCATCCATGCCAGCCAGATATCTTAAATAAATCTAGTCCCATTTGCCAGCATTTGGCCTATATCCCTCTAAACCCTTCCTATTCATATACCCATTCAGATGCCTTTTAAATGTTGTAATTGTACCACCCTCCACTACTTCCTCTGGCAGCTCATTCCATACACGCACCACCCTCTGTGTGGAAAAAGTTGCCCCTTAGGTCCCTTTTAAATCTTTCCCCTCTCACCTTAAACCTATGCCCTCTAGTTTTGGACTCGTCTACCCTGGAGAAAAGACCTTGACTGTTCACCTTATCCATGCCCTTCATGATTTTATAAACTTCGATAAAGTCACCCCTCAGCCTTCAATGCTCCAGGAAAGTAGCCCCAGTCTATTCAGCCTTTCCCTATAGCTCAAACCCTCCAACCCTGGCAACATTCTTGTAAATTCTTTCTGAACCCTTTCAAGTTTCACAACATCTTTCCTATAACAGGGAGGCCAGAATTGAACACAGTATTCCAGAAGTGGCCTAACCAATGTCCTATACAGCCACAACATGACCTCCCAACTCCTATACAATGCACTGACCAATAAAGGCAAGCATACCAAACACCTTCTTCACTATCCTGTCTACTTGCAATTCCACTTTAAAGGAACTAAGGTCTCTTTGTTCAGCAACACGTCCCAGGACATACCATTAAGTGTATAAGTCCTACCCCAATTTGCCTTTCCAAAATATAGTACCTCTCATTTATCTAGATTAAAGAACTACAACTGAATTTGTTTATGACAAATGGAAGGAGAATGGCCAGCAGAGGATTGAAGTAGGCTGGTCTGGAGATGACAAGAGCATGGGTAAAGGAGGGTTGTGTTGCAGCAACGTAGAGGCAAGGGGAGCTGGAATATACAACAGGGTCAACCTCTGACGTTTGAAAATAAACTGAAAATAAGAGTCATTGACTGGTATAAGTTCTCGTTTGGTTCTGACACAAGTTGTGTCGATTCAGACTGAAGCTGACGTACTAGGAAGTATAGAGTAGCAGCTTGTTGCTGCTGAGAGCAGTGAAGAAACTCGGGGGAGAGACGCAGAGACAGAGAGCACCTAGTCGGTGAATCATGACTTCTCTGGAGCTCCTGCTGTTGTTGAACACAGCAGTATTATCAGGTAAGGAAGGGGAGAGGGAGTCCACCATGAGCAAACGCGACTTTAGATAATAAAGAAGCAGGGACCAGATGTATTCTTAATGAACAGGAAATACCCCGGGAGTTTTCCCTTTTTTAAAAATCTGTTCAGTTTAAAGCGCTCGGCAAATTCAAAACCAGCCTGTTTATAACCCCACCGTAAGTCAGATGTTAGTTAGTTTCGATGAAAAGAGATTAGTTTTCACACCCCAGCTCCACCCTCGGAATATAATTCCTGTTTGCAAGTGAATGAATTACATCCCAAAGGTATAACTGACTCCTGGACTTGTTTTGTTTAAAATATTGCCAATACTTCGACTCTGTTTCCCCAAGCAGGGATGTGCTGGCAGTATGAGCTGGTACTGAGTAATGATGGGCCCATCACCACTGGTGCCCATGGAACAGTGGAGGCCAGGTTGGTACCTAAGCCTGGGAGCCGGCAGGAGCAGCTGGAACCGCAACCTTACACCTTCCATTGGAACGTGGAGAGTCCCCTGGCCATCGTAAGGAGTTCGGAGCAGGAACTCACCTCCTCCATCACCGTCCACAGCCTGGCCCCGAAACTGTACGCTCTCCGTGCTTGGGTAACCCGAAGCGGCTGTTCGTGGTGCCCCCCACTCGCTCACGGCTCCATCAAACTCCTGGTGACAGGTAAGAGTGTAATATGTGGTTGTAACTGGGAGCCCAGACTGTCCTTGTCTCCTCGCTCTGTAGTTTGAATCTAGTTTCACCATTCCAAAAGATTTAAACAAATATTCCTGACTTGCCTGTAACAGTTGGGATTATACCTGGTTTTTAGTGGAATTTGAATATTCACTTTTTGCATCCACTAGTGAATAATGGATAGCAGCTAGTTACATCAAGCTACTGGTAAATAGTGTTCAATAACAGGATTGACAGGATCATTGATTAATACTGTTTTGATACTCGACTGTATTTAAACAAGGTCTTGATAAATAGTGTGTAATAACTGTATTAACCCATTAGTGAATATAGGCTCATACAATTTTACAGTCCGGAAGGAGGCCATTCTGCCTATTATGCCTGTACCTACTCCCGAAAGAGCTTCCCAGCTAGTCTCATTCTCCAGTCCTATCTCCGTAGCTCTCTAAATTAATAATTTTCACATAAATATCCAGCTCTCTTTTACAAACTCCTATGGAATCTGCATCCACTACTTTTCTAGGCAGCACAATTCAAATCCTAACAATTGTCTGAGGAAAGAAGTTTCTCTCATTCCTAGCTAAATTGCTGACAATCTTGAAATTGTGACCCCCCAGTTACTGACATATCAACTAGAATAATTTCCTTTGCTCTGTCAAAATTGTCCTCTAAATTGAACACCTCAATAAGGTCACCCCTTAATCTTCTCTGCTCCAAGGAGAATAAGCCCAATTTCTCTAATCTTTCCTTGTACCTAGAATCCCTATCCTGGTATCCTTCTAGAAAATCTCCTTTGCACTCTCTCCAGGGCTTTAACATCCTTCCTTGAATAAGGTTCCCAGAACTGAAAACAATACTCCAAATGTAGGCTGATCAATGACTTGTAGAGGTGTAGCATCACATTCTTGCTTTTATATTCTATGTCTTTATTTATAAACCCAAAGATCCTATAAGCCTTCTTATAGTTTCAACTTGTCTGATCACCTTCAGAGAATTGTGCACGTGAACCCCAAGGTCCTTCTGCTCCTGTGCTCTCCTCAAAGTTGTAGCATTGAACCTGAATTGTCTGTCCATATTTCTTCTACCAAAATGCATTACCTAACATTTCTCTGTGTTGAAATTTATTTGCCAGGCATCTGGCCAACTTGTCAATGTCCCTCAGAAGTCACTCAGTGTCATTCTCACAATTCACTATTCTCCATAGCTTAGCATCAGCTGAAAATTTAAGAGATTTCATCCTCCACCCCGTCTCCAATTCATTTATATAAATCAGAAACAGCAAGGGTCTCAACACCGATGTGTGGGGAACACCACTTTCAACTATGATTCAACTTTCAAATCTGAGAAATGCCCATCTATTCCTACCCTCTGATTCGTAACATTTAACCAATTTCTAATCCATGCTGCCAAGAAACCATCAATCCCAAATATTTTTAACCAACCAACTAACGAGTTAATCAACCAGCCAGATCAAATGGCACTGTATCAATTGTTTCCTGAAAGTCCAAATATACAAAGTCCGCAGCACTACCTTTATCCACTGCCTACGTCAGTTCGTCAAAGATTTCAAGCTTGTCAGACATGACCTGCCCTTGACAAAGCCATGCTGATTGTCTAGTATTAACTTATTTTTCTCTAAATGTATATTCATCTTATCCCACAATACATCCCCCATCTGTTTTCTCACTAATGATGATACATTGACATGTCTGTAATTTCCTAGGTTATCCTTTGACCTTTTATTAAACAATGGTGTCACATTTGCAATCCTGCAGTCCCCTGGCACTATCCCTGTGTTCAAAGAGGCTTGGAAAATATATTTTAATGACACTTAAAACCAGGCTTTTACTAATTTTGTTCAATAACTGTAATACATCAGGTTATTTGAAAATGTTGCTTGATAAGTATTAACCCCAGATTACTACCAAATAAGTTTTTGGTTAATATTGTTCACTAACTGTATTGTTACAAAAGCACTTCATATTCAATAATTTATCTGAGGACAAGTTTTACAATATCATGGAAAAATTGATTTATTTAAAATTTTCTGAACATATCTGGAGAGATCTACTTTAAAGAAGTCATTGAAAGTTCACCTAGGATATTGGGCATTGTTTTCCAATAACGCTTTCTAGAAATCACGAATGGTTATAGCTTTGCTGTAGACCCTTCCAGCACTATTTAAACAGGGTATGGTTTGGAAAAATTCTTGTTTTATCTCGTCTTTAGTAGAGGAACAAGAAGCCCATGAGGAAGGGCTGCCCAATTTTCCAATTTCTGAAAAGGATTCTGTTGTTGAGTTCAGTGTGAATCCTATTTGTTTTTCTGGAAGAGTGACTGAACTTCTCAATCTTTATTTCCCGAGCAAGCTGTGTCTGCCCAGACTCCAGAGACAGTGTGTGCATAACGAATGACTTGACCTCACATGCCAAAATATCAGAACAGACCTCTCAAATTTCAAATCTAATGTTGATCTTATTTTTGTGCACTGCCTGTGCAGCCGTAACTTTGTATGCCTCACTCTGTTTAATCACCCTATAATCTGTATGCTCTTGTAGGCTACGATCTGCCTGTACTACACACCAAACAAAACTTTTCACCATACTTAGGTACATGGGACAACAATAAATCAAATTGAAACAAAAAATTTAGAACAGTCTAAACTTTAACTTTTTTACCTTCAAGAATAATCTTAATGGTCAGAAAAAGTTTTATTTTAACGTGGACCTCTGCATTTTTTTTCTCTTTTGCAGAAGCTCCTTGTCAATGTGTTTTGAGTTATTTAGAAGGAAGAGCATTTACCCTTCCATGTTCACCAGTTAGAGAAGAGATGAGCAATTGATGAAAGATACATCCTTTTATTTAAAAACTGATAACAGGAAGGCATTTAAATTACCATCTCAGTAACTAGGAAATATATTTTTATTTAACTTTATTTTAACCCATGGACTAGGGGGACCACAGCAACAGTGCACTCCTCCAGCCTCAATTCTAACAGTCTTAACATTATTCAACAACTTCATTAACACCAGGTTATTGGGGAACGTTGTTCAAAACTATTATATATCAGGTTATTAGTTTTTTTTAAAAACTGCATTAATACAAGGTTATTTGTGAATATTGTATTAATAGCAGGTTACTAGTGAATATTATTCAATTACAATATTATATCAAGTCACTGATGAACATTGTTCAATAACTATTAACTCCAAGTTATTGCCAGATATTGTACAGGGGGCTTTGTTGGCTGCACAGCTGGTTTGTGATGCAGAATGACACCAACAGCATGGGTTCAATTCTCATCCTGCCCGAGGTCACCATGAAGCCTCACCCTCACCTGAGTCATGATGACCCTCAGTTTAAACTTGCCACCAGTCATCGCTCTCTAATGAGACCTACAGTCCTCTGGGAGTATGGTGACTTTTACTGGTTAATACTATTCAATGACTTTATAAACACCAAGTTACTGATGAATATTGGTAGCTAGGAAAATGTCAGTCTATGTGTAGAAGATAGGGTGGTGGGGGTGGGAGTTAGGAGTGAATGAAGGCTGGGGATAGAGCCCAAAAAAGAGAGGAGAACAGCTGAACAGACAAAGGAGCGGATAACAATTGGGCTAGAAGGGTGAATATCTGTTGATGGGGACTGTTGGTGGCCAACAATGGGTTGTGTTAACATGGCCTATGTGTGGGGGTTTCGAATGAGGACATGGGAGAGCTCAAGCCCTAAATTTATTGAACTTGATATTGAGTCCAGAGGGCTGTACGACCCCCAAGCGGAAAATGAGGTGTTGTTCTTCCAGCTTGCGCTGAGCTTCGCTGAAACACTGCAGCAAGCTGAGACAGAGATGTTGCCCAGGGAACAGAATGGGATCACTTCAACACACCAGCGCAAGCTGGAAGAACAGCACTTCATTTTCCAGTTGGGGACCCTGCAGCCCTCTGGACTCAACATCGAGTTCAATAACTTTAGGGCTTGAGTTCTCCCATGTCCTTATCCTAAACTCCACATATCAGGCTTTGTTAACACACAGTCAACAATTACACACAATCCATTGTTAACCACTAACAGTCCCCATTAATAGCTATTCACCCTTCTAGTCAGATCATTATCCACTCCTTTGTCTGTCCAACTGTTCTCCTCTTTCTTTGGACTCTATCCCCACCTATCATTTAGTCCTTACGTCCTCCCCCCACCCACCCTATCTTCTGCATAAAAACCGACATTTTCTTAGCTACTGTCTATTTTGAGGAAGGGGGTCACTCAAACCCGAAACGTTAACTCTGATTTCTCTTCATAGATGCTGCCAGACCAGCTGACCTTTTCCAGTAATTTCTGTTTTTGTTTCTGATTTACAGCATCTGTAGTTTTTTATTGGTTTTTACTGGTGAACATTGTTCAATTAAAGTGTCATATGAAGCAATTGTTGAATATTAATCTATACTGTGTTTGCACCAGGTTATTGATGAATACTATTTAATAACTGTAATTACACCAGATTCATATTGAATTATCTTTAATAACTGCCTGCATTTGTGTCTGACCATGTGTGACTCTCAGAACTGTTTTTCTTTCCCTGTACAGACTTTGTGGTGGGAACTCTATCATTGAAGCAGCCAAATGGCAGTATCACTTTCTCAAGAAAGGAATATGAACTAGCCACCAACATCCCAACACAGATCTCATTCATCCTCTATGATCCAAGTGATTACTTTGACACTGCTTCATTCCGTTACTTCTGGTACTTTGGTGACGGGTAAATTCTTACCTCATATGGTACTGTAACTCTTATTCTGAATGATTAAGTATGCAACACTTGCATGCAGTTGAGAGTTAGCACCAGGGATGTCAAGATCCATCCTTAGCCAAACAGTCTCCACTTGGTACAAAAACAAAGTTGCTGGAAAAGCTCAGCAGGTCTGGCAGCACCTGTGAAGGAGA